CCGGCCCTAAGCTGTTGTTTTCAGAATTATAATTTGTTACAAAAACCCAAACACTTGTGAGGGATCTAGAGATTTGAGGAGAGAAGGAACTGATGACAGAAGGAGAAAAAAAAGAGGGCTTTTGAGAAGTATATATGATGTCTGACAAGTTATTTATGTAAGTTGTAATGTTAAACACTGAGAATTCAGCCCTGGAAACTTTTTTTAAGTTCTTATCCACAAAAACAACACCCCTCAGTGACTTGAGGAAATGACAAAGTTCAACAAAGCCAAGCTGGTCTTTAGCCAAATAGCAAGTTCTGAGTCTCTTACACACATCTGTACCTTTGGAGTGTCCACACAGTCTTCTTCCATAAATGCTGCTTCTGCCTGACAGCCTGATGCTGGAAATGAAAAGGCCTCCACATTGGATGCCTGCGGGAGGAGGGTAGATCGCATCAGTCTCACGTTCGGTGAATGCATGGTCACTGGGAGGCCCACAGTTTGTGCCTGTAAATATGGCAAGAACAGACAGTTTGGGCACATTAATACTTTGTCTACAAACAAACAAAGTTCTTAGAATACAAAAATTCTTCCTGGGGCAATTAAAGGATAAATAGTTATTTAATGGAAACTCCAGAAAAGATTTGATGAAATATGTATATGGTATAGGTATTGATTTGAAGCAATCTCAGCTATCAGTTATTCTGAAATAGGTTGTACAGAAACATTTCACCGATGTCTGATAAGAAAGCAAGTCTTTGCAAGAAATTGAAGAATGTTCTTTGTTTCAATCAACAAACATATGTTGTCTCTTTCCTTAAATATGTTACCTGGAGAGATAAAAACAACAGAAGAGTCCCTGCCTATAGGAGTTCAAAACTGAACCAGGGATAGATATACACACACAACTAAGTACAATACAATGTACACTTAAGTAAGTGCTATACCTCTGCCTTTTTTTTTTTTTTTTTAGTGTGTTGTGACGTTTATATTTTTTGGCAAGAATGTGTGTGAAGAGGAAGAAAAGAGAAGCAGCAGTCACTTGGAGGTGACAGGAAGGTCTCCTTCCTTTGAGGAATTGCACAACCTGAACACAGCCTGCTGGCCCAGAGGAAGGAGAGATGCTTATTGCTGAGCAGCAAGTTGTGCTCCTGAAGTCAACCTACTAGAAAGATCCTGATAGTTAAATACATTCTTCGTGTCTCCTTTGTCAACTATGCTAAGTAAATAAGCATTACAAATTCTTTTAAAAACACATTAAAGAGAGAAGCTTCCCTTATGACAATTGGTAAGGATTGATTTTAAAGATGAAGCTGCTGGATCTTTTTGTACCCATCCCTTCAAAACTAGCAGAATAATTTATCAGATGCGTTTTGAACACAACAGACATTGTGAAACATCTAAGGGAACAATCATCGTACCAGACTGTAAAAGGCAGAAGAATGGCCTATATTTTTCCTGCTATGGTTACTTCAAGGGATATAGATGGCAAGTTTTAAATTCAAACAATTCTTACCTTAGTCTGAGTTAAGCAAATTCTCAGTTCTTTTGCTGTGAATTTTTGTACTAAACATGTACATGCTTTATTCCCTCTGCTCTGTAAGTTTTTATGTGTCTATCTTTTAATGACCTTACATGAATTGCTGATCATAGCTTCATTTAAAAATCAAACAAAATTTCCTATGTATAATAACTTAGATGATATTATTTCATTTGTTTGTTCCCATTACAGTATATTAGTAAAAGTTTTCTGTGTATCAGTGTCATGGAAAAACTCAGTCTTTAAATATCAGAAAATGAAAGATGTTAATATTTTGCATCTTTTACTGTAGGGTATGTAATACTCATTAACAAGCAGACACTTAGAATTAGAAAAGTGATTTGCTTTTCTAATTCTAAGTGCAATTAACTTTTCTAATTCTAAGATCATATTTAACTCAGGTGTGGCACCAGTAGCTTTCTTTGTCATTGTGAGTAGTTGGAGGATTATTTTGGCCTGAATGTTTACATATACACAACACATTAGTAAATCTTTTTTGACTTTTAGTCCATTATTGGTAGTAATCCTTTTTGTATGATGATGTCGTGTCGACAAAATGAGAATAAAAATTTTCTTTAAAATGTTTTGAAGTTTTTATTCAATTACTTAATGCTGATAGCTTTAGATGACCATGTTATTCACCTGTTATATGAGAATATATTGTATGAGAATATACAGTGAAACAAAATCAAACCTATTCTTTTTCCCTTCTCTGTAAAGAAGGTATAGAACTGTGAGAAACTTATGGAATTAAAGTGTATTCAGATGAGGACTGGGATCCTTTTTCTTTTAATTTTTGAGTTATTCACATTAATGATTTATAATATTTGAAATTTGAGATAGATAAACCTAATTTTTATTATATTTCATTTCAGGAAAGTGAAAAAGACTTGGAAGAAGCTGAGGAATATAAAGAAGCACGTTTAGTACTGGATTCAGTGAAATTGGAAGCCTAAAACTTTCCTGTACAGGATGTTTTTTGCATTAAATCCTGGGGTCTATTGTATAATTCATTATTTTTGACCACTGCTGTGTGTTCAAGTAGTATGGGAATGTGATTTTTTTTATGCAGTTGCATATATTTTTCCTTGCCTAATTTAATGTGTTGAGTAAATGAGTTCGTCTACTAAAAATAAATAAATTAATTAATTAATTAATTTCTCTAGCCACCAAGTCACAATGTAAACTTTAAACTTCCTAAAAAAGTACATCTGGTACATTCTTCTTACCCATGTCATCAGCTTTTCAATGGATAAAACAAGTGTGATTTCTATTTCCCGAATTTATTAGCCTGCCTTCTATATGAAAGTAGTCTAAATTATTAGGGCAAAACATTACCTGGAGCAGTAACATTTTCTTTCCTATAGGAAAACTGTTACCACTCCAATAGGCATTTACTTGTTATGAACTGAACTGTTTCCTCCCAAAATTCGTAAGTTGAAGCCCTAATCTCCAATGTGACTGTACTTGGAGACAGGGTCTTTTATGAGGTAATTAAGGTTAAATGAAGTCATACAGGTGGGCTCTATCCTCATAAGAAGAGGAAGAGATACCAGAGATCTTTCTCTCCACACTTGCACAGAGAAAAGGCTGTGTGAGGACACAGTGAGAAGGTGGCCACCTACAAGCCTGGAAGAGATTTCACCAGAAAACAATGCTGATGGCACCTTGATTTTGCATTTCCATCCTCCAGAACTGTGAGAAAATAATTTCTGTCGTTTAAGCCATCCAATCTGTGGTATTTTGTTAAGGCAACCCTAGCAAACTAATACAATGCTTTTTCCTGTAGTTGTGGAGGGCAACCTCTAATCAGTAACTAAAGAAACTGGAATGACTGTTTCATTCTCATCTGCTTACAGATGATGCCAGCTTGAAGTGGAAGGACTGTTAAAAACTAGTGGTTAGAGATCATGATAGAAAGGTGTGACATTTTGTTTCTAAAGAGTTGTCTGAAGTTAATTAGATGCCATGTTTCCTGAATGTTATACAGCAAATATGAGTATAACAACTCTAAATCTATGTATGATGGGAATTTCACTGTTTTCTAAATAATAATGGGTACTTCATCACTAGATGATAAATTCCTTAATGGCAGGGACTGCTTACTGGGTACTCCTGAAGCCACAGTGACTGGAACTGTGCCTGGCACATAAATGCTCTATTTGCTGGATTCAACTGTTGGTTTAGGTTAACTAATTTTATGTTGGTAGCAATCTTTCAAAGAAAATATTTCCTTTTTATATTTAAGAACACAGGAACTCAGAAATGATGACTTGCCCAAAGTCACTTGGCTCTGTACAGAACCCAAGGTCTGCCTGATTCAACAGCTCATGTGATCTTTGCACTGGATCATATTGTCTCCTCAATTTCTTACTGCTAAAACTTTAAGCACATTTATATCCATAAAAACAGAGAAATCTATTTTTAACAAGCTCAACATTAAAACTTAGAATGTGAACCTCTGAGGGAAGGGAATGTTTTCTTCAGCCCAAGTGTCTGTTGTTTAACATGCAGAAGGCACACAAGACAAGTTTGTGGATGAGCACTGAAGACTTCATTTGAATTAGATACATTTTAAGTTACAGTAAGGTTTCTATGACAACTTGGGTCAATGCATAAAGTGAAAAGAACTCATGGGGAGCTTGGTATAAAAAAAAAGTTATCGGGGCCGGCCCGGTGGCGCACTGGATAGTGCGCCGCTTGGGAAGCGCGGCGGCGCTCCCGCCCGAGGGTTCGGATCCCACATACAGACCGGTTCCCGCTCGCTGGCTGAGCGAGGCGCGGGAGCAACACCGAGGCTTGCAATCCCGTTGCCGGTCCCCGGTCCGGTGCGGGGCAACACTGAGGGTTGCGATCCGTTGCCGGACACGGAAAAAAGACAAAAGACAAAAAAAAAAAAAAGTTATCAAACATAACATAAGAAACCATGTTATACATATCTGAACTCCAAGCCAAACTAAATATCATTTGAGATATCCCAGGGAATTTGCTTAAAGTCTAGATATGAAAGGATATCATGTACAACATACGCACGTGCTCAAGAACAATCGTTTATGTAATCACTTGCCACCCCTCACTTGTGGAACGTTTAAGAAGAATAAAGAGGCTTGGCAGGAAAAGTCTGCTACAGCACTGGGACTTTCCTGCTTCCTTGTCTGTCTGGCGGCATTAGCAAGAGGGAAGGGATACCACTACGTCTCACTATTACCCCAACTTACGAATTCTCATTTTATCTCCCTCTTTCTGTCTTGAAAGCAGTATCACTGAACTTTGAAGGTTTCCAAGAGCTCAGAGATACTTTAACCCAAATATCTGGAACTGTATTGCTGCATTATTTTACTCACATTACTTTATGTATAATGTATAACAAAACATACCATTTGCCTATTAAAATCAAGATTTTAATTTCCTTGTTTTTTTATATTCTGTAGAAGCCAATGCAAAATGTTAGTATAATCCTGTAAATTTTGTAAAAGTGCCAAAAAAATGCAAAGTCAAAACTCTTCTGCTCTTAATTTCACTTTGAACAAAGTAAGTTACTCACAGAAGTGGACAGGAATCCTAACAGAGCAGATGAACACACCACCCTTCTTCTCAATCTTTGTGTAGATGATTCCCCAAATATCTTTAGCCCCAGCCTCTCCCCTGGGATCCAGATCCATACCTCCTCCTGAGCAACTGAGTTAATGCCACCACTATTCTCTCAGGACCGAGCTCAAGATGGAATCATCTCTAACTCATTGTTGTCCCTTCCTCCTCAACGTTTATTTACTATTTTATATAACAAACACTTACAAAGCACTTACTATGTGCCAGGCACTGTTCTAAGTGCTTCACAAATATTAACTCATTTAATTGTCACAATATTCTATTATTATCCCCATTTTACACTTGGGAAACTGAGGCACAGAAACACTGTAAGAAACTTTTTAATGTCACACAGCAGGAAATGGCACAATCTGGGATTTGCTCCAAAGTACCTGCTTTTAACCATCATGCTGAGCTGCCTCTCCAAACCATTGCTAAGTTCTTATGGAGTCTACCTCTGAAATGGTTCTTACACTTGCCCCTTCCTTTCTACTTCTAGCACCACATTAGTTGAAGCCTTCAGTATTTCTCATCTCAACTACTATAATAATCTCCTAACTGCTCTCTTCAACTCTCTTCTCTTCCCTATCCAACCCATCCTTCTCAGTGCTACCAGATTAATTAGCTTAAAGCATGGCTATAGTTATATCACTTTTCTGCTTAACAGCCTTCATTAGTTCCTTATTGCTTCCTGAATTGAAAGTAAACTCTTTACCTTGGAATTCAAAACTCTTCACAATATGGCTTCAACTCACCTCTCGAACTCTTCATCTTCTTGTACTTCAGGTTGGTTACCTTGACCATACCCTCCACTTGCCTGCTGAGTATACTTCTGCTCATCTCATGCTGCTGCTTCTGCTTACCTGCAGTACCTTCCGTCCTGCCTGTCCCTGACAAAGTCCTCCGCATCTGTGAAGTTCTGTTTTCCATGCTGTCTCTCCCATGAAGCATTCCCCATTCAGATGTGGCTCTGTCTCCCCATCCTTAGCTCTTCTACAGCACTCATCTTCCCTTAGTTTGAGTGCTGGTTATTTATAATCTTATTTCACTTCTACAGTGTAATGTCTCAGAGGACAATGACTGGATTTTATACATCCTATTCCCTATAGTGTCTGATAATAGAAGCTTGCACGTGGTAAATCTGCCATAAAAATTTGTTAAATAAAACTTCATGTACAGGCTAGTTACATTAACTCTCAACATAAGTGAATAATAATAATCAAAAAACATCTTTTTTTTGTCTTTTTTTGTGTCCGGCAACGGATAGCAACCCTTAGTGTCGCGCCCGTACCGGACCGGGACCGGCAACGGGATTGCAACCCTTGGTGCTGCGCCCACACCTCACTCAGCCAGTGAGCGGGAACCGGTCTGTATGTGGGATCCGAACCCTCGGCAGGAGCACCGCCACGCTTCCCAAGCGGCGCACTGTAGCAGTGCGCCACCGGGCCGGCCCCCAAAAAACATCTTTTAAAGAAACAAACTGTTTGAAATAAAGTTAATCCTTAAAAAACAGGAAGGGGCTAAAACATTGAGAATGTAGTAAATAACAGGCAGAAACTTTACAGAAAAACAGAGGGTAGAGGATAAAATCCTAACCCTTTGTACTACAAGATGAAAAATGTGTCAAACATGTGAACAGGCACATGCACAGATAAGATTGTGGGCTAATGGGGTGTTACCTTGGCAACTGTTTGTTCAGCAACGGTGCTGGGCCGGCGCTGGCGGCCATCAAGTCTCTGCTCCACAGGAAAACTGCTCCTGTGTGACTTCAGGCGTTCCACCAGCAAGAAATAAATGGCAGCAAAGTGGTTATAGCTCTTGTCCTGCAAAGACTGAAAGAGAAAACAAGTGCTGAAGGCAGAGAACCATAAAAACCAATCCAGTGGTCTATACCTTTCTAAAAAGAAAAAAGGGGGAGGAAATCATGTGTTCTTAAAAACAGAGTGACAAAGTATACCTGCAGATGAAAGCTATTTGAGAATTTAGACTGGAAGGCAGAAAGTTTCTATTTCTAGTATTAATTATATAAAGGGTGATATCTTTAAATGACTGGGGAGGAAATCATGTGTTCTTAAAAACAGAGTGACAAAGTATACCTGCAGATGAAAGCTATTTGAGAATTTAGACCGGAAGGCAGAAAGTTTCTATTTCTAGTATTAATTATATAAAGGGTGATATCTTTAAATGACTTGACCAGCTCTTTTATATTAACAGGATCCATTTATTTTACTGCATTCAGAGAAAATGCCATCATTGTCTCACGCAGACATTCTCCAATGCTGTCATATGGTCCCATCTCATAGCTGTAACTATGGTGTCAGTTAGCAACCTGAGCCCAGAGCTCTAATTCCATAGCTTCAATACAAGTCCAAACGATCAAAAACTCTAAAGTGAATGATTAAAAACTTTGTGGAACTTTCTGGTGATTATTTTGGGCTGGAAGAATGACATCTGGTTGCTACATTCAGAGACACTATGTCTCTGTTCTTAGGTAATTTTTTCCTCTTGTTTTGCAGTCCCACCCTCTTGAAACCTTGAAAATAAA